TTATTTTTGAAAATAATGTACCTTTTTTAGTGTTAAACAATATCTACTTGCTGATTGACAAGCATTCTGACCGAATCTTGTAGGTCCATGTTTCATGTTAGTCTATAATTCAATCAATACTATAATCATATTTTTGGATACATGGATTGAGATACTTTGCAGGTAAAAATGAGTATATATAAGGTTTGCATATGCATCATATGCTAGCGTGATATAAGGCCATTAAATTTATATAGTCATAAGAGTATATAATAAGTTTATATTAGCTATTTTCTAGCTATTGGCTATTTTCATTCTTGGATTGCTAGGAATGCCTTACATCTTTTTTATCCTATGCTCCAATTCAACGTTGAAGCATAGGACCTCAAGCACATACTTGAAGTTAAAGGCCTGTTTTGTTCTCTTCATGTATTCACAGTGTTTGTTTACGTCCAATATCCTCAATTAATTGTTATATTGATCATACTTTACGGAGTCTTTTAATTTCTTCCGATATTAGATGGATACTCAATAATTTCTTTCATTGGATTTTATCCATGAAACTAGTTCAGATCCACATTAATAAGTGATATGCATGTTATGAAAATGTCGTTCAGTTTTCCACCATGTCTTAAGAGTCTTTAAAACGTAGGTCAGTATATATAGATCAAAAATTTAAATAAGTATTTTTTGGTTTAAGTTTGTTGTGAAGTGTTGCTTATTCACAAATGAAAATATTTTGATAATTTTTATTGAAAAATTATATTTAATACAATGATAGTTTCAAACTTTTATGGTTAAAACGAAAATATAATTAACCGATAAGCTTCAGGACATCTTTGGGATATTATGGCGTGTAACAGTCCGTCATATATAAAGACAGAGTTCTGCATATGCTTCTCTAGTAATCAAGCCGTTGTTACCTGTGGCAGTGTCTAGTGTCGTTAGAGATCTGTAGGATCACCGTTATTTTCAAATCTTAACTAGATGACCAGATTAAAACATAAAGAACTAATGTGATTACCCTAACCTTACCCATGACATAATCATAGAAATCAGAGTAACCTTTACATTACTCTCGTTTCGTAGACTTGTATTACTCTACGTTTGACATCAAGATTTAATATTATCTAGACATGATATAAATTTCATAGTGTCCAATATTAATAAGCTTTTAAAACAATGACCTCTCACATAACTAGATTTTTTTGTCAAAAAAACATCTAATAAAAGAAGCTTTTGTAATTATAATAAAGAATCTGTTGATGGAACGCTTGATTAAACGACTTTATCCATATGGGTTCTACTGTCAGAGTCTTTCATCAAAAGAGATAGTTTAATAATTATTGTTACTATAAGTTCCTACGAGATTATTACTTAAGCGAATTGACAGTATTGAGTGCTAATTTTAGAATAATTTGCAATTGGATAGAATTGACATGATTTGGATTAAACTAAATTAAACGAATATAATGGAAGTAATTTTTATCTTTTTAAGAGGGCTATGAATTAACTAGCTATTGTTAAAAAAATAAATAAAAACTTATAGATTCTTTCAGAATATAACCAAATCCCTTGAACTTAACGTAATCATGTTTAAAAGTTCAGTATTGAATTCCAAAAAATAAAAATTCATAAAAAGCAGAACAATGGAATAAAAATGCAGGTGGTAGCTTTGTTTCCGAACAGCGAAAAAACCCTTTCAGTTAAAGGAAAAAAAAGAGGGAACTGAAATAAAAATATACGAACCCTTTTATATCATTTAAAGTATGGAATACAAAGAAGAAATTATTCTTAAGTCTTGTTATCATTTTAATCCGTCCAACTTCATGTACGGAAAGTAAAATTCAAACAGGAGAGGCACGGCTTACGAATATAAAATAAAACGGCGTCAATTCTTCTGAATGAAATCCAAAACCAAAAAATTAATAAAACATAAACACAAAGCAAGACCCAAAGACAAGAGCACAAAGCCTAAGAAAGGGGAAATGTAAGAAAAGTTCATGATGCGTAAAAATACCGCGAAGTAGGATTGCGTGTACGTCGCTCGTTGTGTATAGTATCGAGCCGGTACTATCTGGCAGCAGATCAGATCTCTTCCTCTTAACGTACTCGTTACTTTAAGACCCGAAGCATTGTGGTGCCTCCGGGTTAACTGTGCTTCGCTGTATCTTATTTTAACGGCGACATAAACTCACACAGACGCAAAGAATCAATAAAAAAATGTAAACAAAGAATAAAAGCGTTAACATGGTAACAATGATGTCCTGCTGTGACATTGAAATATTGTTATTATAAATTTTTATGACAATGTCATATGGCGTCGGCGGCGCAGGCAGTTTCGGTGCGTTTACCACTGCCATACAATGGCCACAATGGAGACAATACCCATAATGGACATAATAACAAACAAAAATATTTGTGTTAAGCAAATTAGAATAGTTGGGTTCAGTTTTAATGATTCGTTCTGGTTTAAGTACTACACGTACTACTTATTGAGTATTGATAGGATACCTTGTCTCTTAATTTGGACCGCTATTTACTTTTTATTAACAAAGAATGGCACGTGTGGTTATAAAGGTGACTAAAATTAGTGGGTTATACAAATATATGATAAATTGTTAAGTATATACAGAGAGTTGATTGTTAATAAAATAGAGATTTCTGTACATGGGCAGAAATAGGCATTAGTGGATCCTTTGGTTCGCTAGAGTAGCCGAACCTAACCTATGTTCGCAAATTTTTTAAAATAGCTATCCAATTTTTTTAGAAAAATAAAATATTACAATATATTTTCATTAATTACAATATATTTTCAGAGATGAATGGCGCCATTATAGTGAAACCACATCGTAATTCAATTCAATTACTGGATCTTATAAATTCAAATTTACAGTGATATATGTATGGTCCTATTGTAATGAAAATACATCTAACCTCATTGAGCGAATCTTATTTATGTAAATTTATAGTGCTATGTTAGCTCATTGAGAACTTGTAACTTGTAAATGTTTCAAAATGTTTACAATTCCGCTACTAGACGTAGGAGAATAAATACACCCTACTCCACCTCATTAAGCGGATCTTATTAATATGACTTTACAGTGGTACGTATGGACCTATTATAGTGAAACTATACTATAATGCAATGCAATGACTAGATTTTGTTAATGTAAATTTAAAGTGGTATGGTCCCATTGTAGTGAAAATACAATTTAAATCACCTTATTGATCAGATATTATTAATATAAGTTTACAGTGGTATTGACCTAGTATAGTAAAAATAAACCTGTATCCACCTTATTAATTGGAGACCAGGCAGTTGCATCGCTGACCAGAAACTCACACTGCGCTGATTCATGGAAAAGGTCTGGGAACGTACCATAAACACTCATTACCTACTCGGTGATCATAAAGTCGCATTCGATAGCTAGATCAGACCTTACATTATTGATAATCCTACTTCTTAAGGATGACGTTAAACATTAGTATTACAATTATCAAGATATGATAAAGCAGAACGTATAGCTACGATCTCTTTAATTTCTATTAAATGACATTGAACAGAAAGATTAGCTATAATGGATTATACAACATGGTTGATATTGGTGTGATCTGTTCAATCTGTACTGACTTCTCTGTAGACCCTTGAAATTTGTACTTTCCTAGTATAAGTAACTTGTCATGCACATGCTCTTATATTACACAAAAACATGAAAAACATGACAACACAGAATAATAAAATAATACTGGAGCTATTCGTAAAAAATATATACTTAATATATTTGGGTATATACGAGTTAGCTTTGATTAACTACAGAAGAGGAATGCTGCTTCAGTCTGAATATCGGTAATGAATTGTTAGACTATTATCTCCGAAACAGAAAACGTCATATGTATAATAGCTGCTTCTAAAGAGGAATGTTACTTCAGTCCGAATATCGGTAGTAGATTACGAGACTGTAAGCTCTGAGACAGTGTGTATAGTAGAGGAATTTTGCTTTAGTCTTAATGTCGGTAATGGTTTGCAAAACTATGAGCTCTGAGACAAGATAAGTCTTGTGTGTGATAGAAGCTGCTGAACAGAATTAATGCTTCAGTTTCGATAATGGGTTGTAACACCCTGATATCATTTAATAATAGATTTATTAAAGACAGACACTGTCAAACTGATACTGTATAGTTTGAATAAGATTAACAACTACAAATTATAACGTAATTCAATAATAAAATAGAGTTTATACACAATAATTATAATATTAATTAATGCCAGTATAATTTATTTAAAAAGCATTTAAATTGATGAAGCCAACGTTGTTACTTAATTTCATTAGAAACAAATCAATTAAGTAATAAAATATACACCCACCAATAGCCAAGTTTTAAAACATAATAAATTGCTTGGCTAACTTAACCCTATTAACCTTAAGTCCGTGAAGAAACAATCATGTTACATGTTTGGTAATTAATTAATCGTCAGATTATGAGCAGAAGCTGCTTGAAACATTATTTTTAACCTCAAATGTCAAATTACAACACACAAAATATGCAATATGGAATATGAGAAGTTATTAATAATTTTAAATAATTATTCAAATATTTCCAACTTTTAAAAAAATATAAGCATATACTCTTCTATAAAAATCAACTTCATCCGTCAATATGAAAATATTGATTTAAAAATTCAGGTAGCTTCATCAACTCTTCCCTCTTAAAGATTTCAGCAATCAAAACTGAAGTCTTTGACACGCCACATTCCCGCTGACGACGTTTAGGTTCCTGCGAGGCTGAGCCTAATTTATCTTGAATGAAAAATATGGGGATAAGCCATGGTTAAGTGGCCATAATTTCAAAATGATCGATGCAGGAACAAATATAGGCGACTCAACACACTATGACGTTGGTGTTAAAATTATTGGTTACGCCCTTTAGGTGGTTGCTTTAAATATCTTCTGGGTTGTTGTTGTATTTCATAAGCTTCCTTCTGTCATACATGTCGTTGGCACAGTGACGAAATCATTTTACCGTCTTCCACTTTTGTTTTCTTTCAATAAGTCGAACAGTTCATCATCATCGAAGTGATGTTCAATATCGTCATCATCGTTATTAGCAACTGCTCAATTATAGCATTTATTATTCAATACTTCTTTTTGTTTTAGCAGCGTTCAAAGACCTTTTGTCTTGTATCTTCGTGGGATCTAAATGAGTTGGTTTTATCTTCTGAAATTTATGTTAGTTTACATATAAATTTGGGCACCCCTACAGTGCACTGAATGTATGCTTTTGTTTTGATACGATTAAAGTCGATTTTAAATATTCCAGTTCATCTCAATTCCGAACTGCAGGTAACAATATTTTACTGTCAAATAAATTGTGTTTTAAATATCTGCACTTAGCCAAGCCACATCTTAAAAAAAGTATCTACAAATAACTGCTGCTGTGAAGGCAAAAAGAAAAAATATGCAGCAAATACAAAAACAAAAAAAAAATAATAAATAAATATGAGAAATGAAACATGCGAAAGCTGCTGGATAAATTTTAATCTATTGCTTAATTTTATATTTAATTTATGCATGGCTTAGACAATTTTTTACAACATTATTATTGTTTAATTTTGTGCTCAGTATTTACAATAAAAATCACTTTTTTATGTGAAATTCCATAAAAATCACTAAGTCGTGCATAAAACTACGAACCTGGAGATTGTTAAGCGCAGATATAAAGGCGTAGGCTGTATTTATTGGTCAATTAAAGCGTGGTCAATGGACATGTGAAAAAAAAGTGGCCCGAACACAGTCAATTGGACGTGAAACACTTTAAACAAGTCATTAGGTGTTTAAAGCAAAACAATATTAGTAGATAAACTTTATGACAATCATAAAATAATTTTATTGTTCTAAGACATAAGTCAATTTAATGCTATAGGATATGTCTTTAGGTATACAGTATAAGGTATAAGGTATATTAGGTATAATGAAAATATTTGGAAACCACAAAAAGGCAATCATAAAATACTTAAAAACATCGTGAAATGTAATAAGGAATTAATCACAGTATTGAATATTTACGAATTTAATGTTGTAATATCGGTTTAAAAACGATTTCACAATAGTACTTTCAAGTTCTATAAAAAAATTAGGATATTTAATTAGGACATTCGAGCAGCTCGAGTCAACTCAAAATTACTCCATTTGATATTCGAACATTTTCAGATTTTTATAATGCTTGAATCAAGTTGTAATCTCACAAGCTCACACAAACATCAGAGTACTCAAAACTAGATTCCATAGTTTTAAGTTTTATAATAAAACATTCCTATTAATGTTTGAAATTATATTGCGATATTTGCATCACTCAAGATTACTCAAACACACTCTATATAGTGTTCGAACATTTCCAGCTCAATTTATAGTAATTGAGCCAAATTCCAGTCTATAAGCTTACTCAAACTTCAAAGTCTTTGAAATTAGACTTAATAGTTCCAAGTTCTGTATAAAAACATTTCCGTGCGTTAGTGCTTCAAAGTCTGTGACTATTATGATATTGAAGCAGTTCGAATATACTCAAATTATCACCATCTGGTGGTCGAACGTTTTTGAGAGATTTGTAGAGCTTGAACCAAATTCTAGTACACTCTTTTACACTCTATTTGTAATTCTAGTACACTCTTTTACACTCTATATGTGATTCATGTTTTAATGTTAATGTTTAATTATAGAATATAATTGTTTCTTTGTGATATATACTAAAAATATGTCACATTGTATTAATATTATGTAGTACCCTAATCATGACTGTAGATTATTGTCGATTATTCTTTAAATAAAATTTTTTTTAAATCAATAACAATTTTTTATGAAAGTGTATTTTTTAACTACTGACCAATTAGCCCGTTAAAAAAATATTAAAAATATTATTAAAAATATTTGGTCAATAAACTATTATTACGTTGAGGCTAGTTCTAGGCTAGGCTAGAGTCAGTGCACTTGAGCATTTTTACTTTCTATTAACTATGAAGTTTCTTCATAAACCCTCTCTACGCTTTGACTGGATTATTGTTTATTCCTTCATCAGACTAAGCATTAACTGACCGCATATCTGCATACCTCTCCCGATGAGCCTGTAACCATTCTGAGATTCGATAACGCGGTGCTGATACACCTGTCAGTTTTCGTAAATAATTTCAGGGCTCTATCCTTTATGTATTAATTATTATAAAATAATAATGAAAAAATTTATTTAGTAAACCTTTGTCATTTCATATTCATTGTTGAAACACTAAGTACACTAGTTTAAACTTAACATATTTACACTAATATTCGTGTAATAAATTTGTATTAATTAACGTCTTTAAAAAAAGTACTTCACTGTGAAGAATATCTACAAAAACAAAGTCTAACCCAAATATAGAACATAGAGATATCTCAAGTACTACACTTATACATACATATTGGTATAAAGATCATGCAGTATACTCTGGTCCATAACAGAAGAAGAATTTTGTTGCATCTCAATTAAAGATATAGTATAGATGCTGTGTAGGTTAGGTTGGGTTAGGTTAGGTTATTGGGGCCGTCTGAAGCCAAACCCATGAGGTCCATTGTAATACCCTAAAGAATTTGACAACTGTCCCTATAACCATTTGGTACTAGCCACAAAGCCATTGACACGAACTATGGAAATAGAATCTAGCTCTCTTAGTGGATTGAAAAAGTATGACCCTAAGTAGGAGAGTCTATGTCTTGCGAAAGCAGGACACTGTAGCAGAAAGTGTATTGGTGATTCATCCTATATTGATTCCTGATATTGAGTCTCACGGCATGTCCTCCCAACGAGCAATGTCTCGTGATTATTCCCACTATTTTGGATATATTTGCTCGGGATATATATGCTGTATAAAAAGCAGAACAATAAATCATATATATCTTTCATAAGAGTATGATCGTAGACAGAGAGATCATTTTCGTACTCTCTAGTAGAAATAATATGCAACCCATATTTTAGGCTTGATACTAAAATTTGTTGCACATTTAACTTAAGGGCATACTTATTTTATGCGGCTTAATTTTAATAATAGATTTTTCTATTATGTATTTTCGATTCGGGACCACTTTGTGATAAATATAAATAACTTTGAATATTTTAAAAAATTTTCGTAAACCAAACATAATCCGCAATTACATGCAACTTAACAAATGCAATTATATGCCAATTAATTACGCACTGTAAATGCTGCCAGGCATTTCTTATTACACAGACAATTTCCGAGGACTGAAAGAAAAAAACGAGATACATTTTCCAAAGCAGTTTTGTGTGCCTACGTTTGTGATCTTCTCAATGAATATTTACGAGCCACTGGGAAAGGAAAATTAAGAAAAAATGTTGCTGACACAGAAGTATAAATTTATTAATAAAGTAGCCGTAAATCTGCAGCAACTTTCAGATACATTCAAGTCTAGTGATAATTTTTTACTAAAGTTTTTTATTTTATTGCAAGATCTTAAGCCATCGTAGAGTGTAAAATGGAATTTACTGCAAATAGTTGAAATAATTACGCGGCTATTTACAAATTACTCTAAGGCGATTAATAAAGATAGTTGGCTGATTGGAACATGAGCAACAGAAGCATCTGTAATTGTGCCTCGAGCTACTGGAGCCGTGTTGAAGTGCGATTTGATGAATGTGTCCGCTGCTCATTGATGTATGGCAAATGTCAATGGAATTGACTTGGAGATGCGTTTGTCAACATTTGTTTCTTTTAATTCTTTGGCAGTAGTTGCGTGACGCAAGGATATTTATAGACACCTCTCAATCCAGATTTAAATATATTCTGAGTTGACTTATTTGTGCTAAAACAAAGAGTGTACAGTGTGAAAAATTTAATTCCATATTTTTTTTTTGAAAAATAGTAAAAAAGAATACAGATTTTTTTTGCCATTCGAAATTCTTTTAAAAGTATTTTTTATTAATTAAAAATTAATTTTAAATTATGTTTGGATATATTTCAACATTAAATTTGTTGTATGAAACAAATATTGATTGTAAAATATTGAACTCGATTTTTAGCCTAATTGGTAATGTTTATTGGTTTTAGTTGACATCTAGAGTAACACCCATAGCCATAGAAAACTTAAATACCTGTTTTTAAAATTTGCTGTCAGTGGTTGTTACCATTTTTATTCATTTAAAAAACAACAACACTAAAGTTTATTATATTAAATAAAAAAACAGTGAAAAAATAAACAAATAAAAATTAATGATGTGGAATTTATTGTCGATTAATTTCATTCCAACAACTAATTTTATGTTTGAGGGCTTTGTTTATGGGTTATCATGTTAAACATATATTTTCGATATTCGTATTGGAGACATTATAGCTTCAAATAGTTTTTCATTTATTTATATTTTTATATTACTCTATTTAATTGATATTTTAGTTTGTAAAACACCAATTCGTTTTTATGTGAGAATCTCATGCAAACACCAGGACCATAACCAGGGTTGAAGTAGTGAACTAAAACGAAATAGTATTAATATGTATTGTTGGCGTTTTATCAACCAAAGTAAATCCACCAAAACGATGACATGATAAAAAGAAAATATTTTCTGGAAAATTAGTACTTGTACCATATTTGTACCATATCTGATAGTTTGATAATGGAAGAGAACTATTTTTAGAAATAAATGGAATGGTAGTAGGTTATGTGAGTCAAGCCTCTATTAAATACAATAGTTTCTATTAAGTAAAATGGTCACTGCCGTCATAACTGATTTTAAAATCAAATTAAATTTAAAAATTATAAAAATATTCCTATAAAGAATATACTGTATTAAGAAATTTCTAAAAATTTTAACGGACGTCGAGCACCCTGATAACAAAGGGATTTGGGGAAATGTCTGATCACGAAACTATCACATTGAACCTCAATTTAAAATGTTTAATGATTGTTAATTTTATAGAAAACATACAAAATATGCCATGAATAAGTTTGTCTACGTTTCTTCTCTGAAGACATAAGAATTATATATTGAGTAATATATTTCATCATCATATAAACTTCATAGAAGATACAGGATTGTGAGGCTCAAGCGTGAGTTCACATTTTTTTAGTA